ATTTGCCCGCGGTGTAGATGAGCCACTAGTCAGATGGTCTGATATATCCAGATTGGGTTGTCCGTAAGACGATAGGTATGTTTCGAGGCGTTGTTGATTGAGCTTTTGTGAAGGCGAGTGTTTCAACAGGAGAGTTGCTCTGCGGTAAGTGACTATTGTCAGTAATGGAAAGTAGTTGAAAATCCGACATGATGACTGACAGGTTATGTACGACTTCTGCATCCACTGATCCCTCTAAGCCTCTATACCCCGTCCGTACAACGGTCTCCCAGATCTCACCATCGCGAACAGTGGTCGAGATGGCCTTCCATTCTTTCTGCCCAAACAACTTCTTGCCTTCTTCAGGCCCCAACTCAATGATTTGGCTCAGGAGTGTAATGTACAGATTCCACACTTTAATCCGCCAGGTCGGCTGGGCTGAAGCAACGGGCGCGACGGAATCATCGCCATTGACGAACTGCTCGTCGGCTCCCCTGACTACTGTAATCGCAGGCTCAAGGGCTGAAAGTGCTTCTTGTAACCGTAGTGTCAAGAAGAGGCTTGATGCCTTTTTGTATGTTTTCGAGCAAAGCTTGGAGGGAGACAATGAGGATGTGGACGAGGAGAGGAGTTGCGAATGGGACGCCGACATGTAGGAACCATCGTCGGCCATTGTTCACCGCCAGCGGAAAATGCGACGGATCGGAAAGAGGAGTCAAAGAAGGGAAATCGAATGGAACGTGCGCGGCTATCAGTAAAAGCAGAAACTGCACGAGGGATAAATGGATGCGATCGAATTGGAGCTCTGGGTGGTTGGGACGGTAGAGGGAACAGCGTGACACTAAGTTGGGCTAAGAACAATGCTTGGACTGGAGGAGTTTCAGCATCACCTCGGCTCATGCGTTTCGCTGGCCGAGAGTCTGGGGTCTGATGTCACGGGACGCCGCTGTCGGAAACTCCCCAAAATAGACTCTCCACGCCTGAGGCCCCCAGGCACAGCTCCAGTCGCGGGAATCCAGTGACAATCTTCCCCTCTCCATCATTCATCCATTCATGAATCTTGCTGGAATTCGTTGCGTGTGTCTCGGCTGTTTCTTCCCTGGTATTGCAGTGCAACTGGGTCTAGAATCTTCCGATTCTTATGACAAGCTTCTGACTGGGGATCTCACAGTATTCTTTGTTTAGGCTGATCCACTATCTACTACTCCGTCCCGATTCACCTATTCATTAACACAATAGCCAGATACGGTTCCCTTGTATCTGCCTTACTTACACTCTACAAATTTTTATATATACTGACTCTTCTTTGCACGGTGCTACTGCATCGTTGAACTGCCGAAAACCATGGATATATCCGCCCAAACATTCTTCTACCACCTGCCCAGAGTATTGGATGACCTGGCATCCTGTTGTTTCGTATCTATAGACTTTGAATTCTCTGGCATCGCCAAAGGCCTCGGACCTTCTCCCAAGAGCAGAAGCACCTTGCAAGAGCGATATGAAGAAGTCAAAAATTCTGCTGATCAATACCAAATACTACAAGTTGGCTTGACTATCTGCCATGAGGATCCGGAGACAGGTTAGACACACATGTCCACCACTCCAGGTTGATGTGTTAATAGCGCAATTACAGCAACGTACACCTTGAAGCCATACAATCTATACTTGAGCCCAATCATCGACCGAAAGCTGGATCTAGACCGAAATTGTTCCTTCCAAAGCAGTGGTATGCTCGTTTCAAAGCTGCCCGCATCCCGTTAACCTAATACGATCTACTTAGCCGTCGAGTTCCTCCTGGAAAACAAGTTTAGCATGGAGGATCTGTACAAGAATGGCGTCACCTACTTGTCGAGAGATGAGGAAAGTCAAATAATGGCCAGAGTCATGCAGAGGAACGAACGCACGACAGCACGCAGCTCCCTGGATGTCGCGGACCATGAGCATGAGTCTATAGCCTTTCTAAAGGATGCTCGCCGTCTTGTAGATGATTGGCTGGCGCTTGGTAAAGTAATAGATTCGGTCACATTTAGTACTGCTTCTCTGACGGTGATAGCAGGCCCGGGAGAATCACCTTAATATCCCGCCACCTCGGCCTATTAATGGACCTGCTCCACCCAATCATCCCAAATCTATGCCGACAGACCTCAATAGGTTTCAAAAGCGGCTTGTTCATCAGCTCATCGAAGTGGAGTATCCGAATTTGGTGACGGTCAGTAGGCCGGGATTTATACAGATAATCGACTACGACGAACAGCGCGAGAAGGCCGTTCGCGATCAGAGGGTGAAATGGGTACAAGAACGGATCTGGAAACAGACTGGATTCAGATGGATCGCGGAGGCGCTAGCTGGGGGCGATCTGACCAACCTCGAGCCTTTCTGCTTCATTAATTTGATGTCGTCTTCGAAGGAGAACCCCCAAAGTTCCCTTCAGGACTTCTCGCGGAGGGTGAAGCAGCGTTTGCAGAAGAATAGACCTATTCTGGTGGGCCACAACCTCTTCACGGACCTGATTTACTTTTGTCGGTGCTTCTTTGGGCCTCTCCCCGACCGTGTGGAGGATTTCCAAGCCATGGCTCACAAGATGTTCCCGGTGTTGATGGATACGAAGTATATGGCCACACACAACTGTGGCTCCATTAATCCCAGGTCTTCCCTGCAGGAAATAAATGACAGCCTCGCTGCACAGCCAACACCAGCAATAAGTAGGTCAATAACTATGTTGTCGTTCCTCACTAATGTCGATCAGGTATACACCCTCAATTCACCAAGTACAATATGCGGACGATTGATCACGAAGCCGGCTTTGATAGTTTGCTCACTGCTCAGGTCTTCATAAAACTTTCTGCCCAGCTCCGAGACAGGGGAACTCCTGGAATTCCGCCAACAGTTCCAGAGACGCCTCAACCCAGTGAAAAGTCCAAGGAGCCCACGAAGCAGGTCATCGGCGACTTCGAGGCTACGGTCGTCCTACCTAGAGGCCCCAAGTCCAACAACGTCCGTATTATGTTCGGCTCTATCGAAGTTGAAAAAGTCGTCCAAGACAACGGCGGCAAGGACGCTGGCGAGGTAACCAGAATATCCCTAACACCCCACGTCTCTCCTGAGACACAGAAGAAGGCCGACGAGGGCCGATTGATTCCACGCTTAGGCGCGCAATTCTGGGACGTTTATGGAAACAAACTGCGCGTCTTTGGTACGAATGAGAGGGTATGCCACATTGGCTAGGCCCTCTTGAAAGCCAGCCACCACACTGCATTATAACTCGCCTAATGAGCGTTGACCACTCATTACACTCCATAATTACGATAAAAGTAGCTCCTAGATACCAGAATACCTAGTTTGCAGAATTAAATAGCAACAGCTACAGTCTCCATAGGCGAAGCCATTTGAAGGAATGTATGCAGCGTCTATCTAACAGTACGCCTTGATTTGAGAAGGTACCGCTAGCGAAAAATGGCCGCAAAAACCGCTCTGAGCACCGGAAAATGATCGACTGGTCGTGGTTACTCAACGCAGTGATGATAAGGAAAGGTGCCGTAGAGAAGAAAAGAACAGAAATGGGCCGCACTGCAGAACTTTTAAACCAAGCGGAATAATGGGTCACATGACATGCTAACCCAGTCGGGCCTAGCTCCGTCCCGACGCTCCCTCGCAGGTGACCGCCAACTTTTCTCGCTATATCGTCGGCCTCCGGAACTGTTGACAAGCACCCCAGCATATAAGCAACACATTTGGAGATGTCGTCAGGGTCCAATGGTGCTAGGCGCGTAGCGTCGCTTTTGCGTATGTGCTTGTCAACCCAAAATTGAGAACCAATGCGTGTCCGTACTGACTGCTCCAGGGCCTGCGATCTCCGATCCCAGAGTGTGCAGAAGCTGTCAAGAGACGCTTGTCCGCCGCAGTTACGCCACGGCCTCAACACAGGCTTCCACAGAATCTTCCTCCACCGCCGCATCAGCCTTCCCCGTCGTGAAGCCCACCCATACCATCAAGGCCGGCGTGGTCCTCTCCCGCCCCCCTCAAATCACCCGCGACCTTACCGACTTCGAAAAGGCGTACTATTTCTACCAGAAGCGATTGAACGAGCGTCTCCAGCTACCTTTCACGAAATACTTCTACTTCAAGCGTGGAACGCCCGCCGACGAGGACTGGAAGCGCAAGATCCGCGAGCGTCAGACCCCCGCACGCGACATCGGCAAGTACAACCCGTACTCGAAGGAGGCATGGAACGATGAACTCCTCGTTGGAGCCGTCGAGTCGGACCCGGCCCACCAGGTGGAGATGCTTGTGCAAGATGCGGAGTCGACGGTCAATGCCACTTCCCAGGATACTAGCAAGAAGGAAGAGATTCCGAGACCCTTCCCCCGGGTGACGGAGGCGGACCAGAAGAACGATCAGAGAAGCCTCAACCGGGCGCTGCAGAGGACTCTTTATCTCCTTGTGCAGTCCAAGGATGGTTTCTGGACGTTCCCCAGCTCTCCCATCGTGGCTGAAGAGACTCTTCGTCAGGTAAGTTCGCTGACTCTGCTCAGTGCCTCAGCAGTGGCAGCAGCGCTAACGCTATTTGACAACAGGCCGCCGAACGTACCCTTGAGCAAGCCGCCGGTGTCAACATGAACACCTGGATGGTCGGCTACCACCCCGTGGGCCACTACGTCTACAACTTCCGCAACCCGAGCAAGCTGGCAACCGGCCCCGCAGGCGAGAAGGTCTTCTTCATGAAGTCGCGCATTATGGCCGGCCAGGCCGATCTTTCCGGAAACGCTCAGAACCTGACCGACTTCAAGTGGCTGTCGAAGGACGAGATTTCGAAGTTTGTGAAGCCGCAGTACTACGCCAGCGTCAAGAACATGCTGGCCGATCGGTAAGCCGGTGTTTCTGAGGTGTGATGGAGTAGTAGTGTATGGATATGGATAGTTGTCGTTGTGCGGACTTGTTTCTTTCCCCGAGGGGATGTAGCCCTTGGTTGGTAGTACAGCAGGTCTGAGTCTTGCATATATCATCTCGTCGGTCATGTATAACTAGCTTTTATTGTTTTCTTTTCGCTTTCTATTTGCAATGAAGACCTTTCTTGTTCCTAAGACTATCCCGAATCAACCGAACGCCATGCAGATTCCTTCCCAGTTATAGTGATAATAGACATAAGTAGGTATCTAGATGCTTCAACAAAAGGACTGCCAACCGATGATTCTACTTCAAATTGAATTTCTGCCCCGTAATCGCAGGCTGATTCTTCGACGAACTCCCCGTCAACCCCTTCCCACACATCGGACACGCTAGACGGCGTTAGCCAGATCATCCGTCAATCGTAATGTAAAAAGAAAGAAAACGAACCATTCTTCTGATACGCACACCGCTGACAATACTTCCGGCCCTGCTCCGTCTTGGTTTTGCAAACCTCACAGGAGGAAGCATACGCCGCGTAGGGGTTCTTAGCTTTGGAACTGAGGAGTTTGCTCTATACGATATTAGCATCATCACCATTACCATCATTTTTCACAGTACTGGTAATAGTAACAACAATAGTAATGATGAAGAAAAGATGATATACATACCTTCCCAATCCCCGTACTCCCCAATGTACTAGACTTAGCCTTTCCCGCGGCAGAAGCAGCACCAGCACCACTGCTACTACCACCGAGCGTTGTGGCCGGTGAGCCATAGTACATTTCTGTTTTGCGTTTCACGCCGGGAGTGGCGAGCTCCGTTTGTTTGAGTTTCTTTTGGCATTTGGCGCAGACCATTTTATTTTGCCTTGGTCTTTTCTTATTACTTTGGGGGTGGAAAAAGAGAGAAGTGGGTATGAGCAGTTATATGTTGAGATGGTGGAAGGTGGTGAAAGATATGATGGATGGGAGTAGTATGTCGGGATAGGAAGTATTGGATGGATGGATTATGGGTGGAGAGTATTGGAGGGATGATGACGCCAGTTGCTTGGTTGGTAGTGTTAGACTAAACTGCACCCGGGTTTTGCGTGGTGGTGGGGTGTGGGGTGCCGTAGTTGGGTTGGGGGTTATACATATTTACATTGGTAGCTACGGTGGGTGGATGTTGGTTTTGTGGGTTGGTTATTTTAGTTTAAGTATTTTTAGTAAGACTTATCTGCTGTAGGAAGTCATAGAGAAGGTTGCTGTGTAATGTAATTGATTTGGCTGGATAGTATCTACTACTGGTCTCAGCTGGTCAGTACTAATATATACTGTCATATGATATTCGGTAGCAGTGTAGTGTCAGATGTACTAATGGAGATGATCATCAGAGTATATACTCCAATAAGCAACACCGTACTAGTTGTCCATGGTCGAATAGTACAAGGTTCTCTGCAGGGTGTGCTGCAGTCTGGCTTGAATCAGTCACAAAACTCTGTTAAACTGGTGTTATATCCTAACACATCCCGCCGATCCATGCATATATCAGTCCGGAACAATGTGATTCCATGTTGCATCTGGGATTCATTGCAGTCGAATGTATACGGAGTGCTTCCGAAGAATATGCAAAGTTTGCCGAGTGTACAATAGATGCCTATACATCTGAAATGCCTGCTTTGATTTTAGTATAGCTCCAGATGCCCTTGAATATTAGTAACAGATCAAGGGTGAAGAGGAGCAGCAACAAACAGTTGATATGCCTACTTGCTAATAATTTCAGTTTCAAAAATCAGGCGAGTCTAGCCAGAACATCCGAAGTCCGTAATGAAATCCGGCCGGTGTGAAATGCCGTCCGGCTTTGAGTTTCATCGGCTGAACACAGCATGTCAGTAATCACAAGCGCATTGCAAAACCGGTCGATCCGTATAACTGGGTTATGACAGTGGCTTTCCAGAAAAGCTCACCGGGTGTGAAGAATAACTACAGTCAATCCACACTTCAGAGCAGCCATCAAGTGCCGGGCGGAGATCTAGCGCTTTAATCTTCAAGTTGGGCGCCTGCCAACACCGGCCGTCGCCCGAAGAGTGGCAGGTGGATTTATAAAGCTAGTCTTCGGAGAGGGCATAGACAAGAAGCTAACAGCCTCGTCAAGAGGATCACGTCTTTTTTCGCCCAGGCGCCTCAGATCGTGACAAGTCATAGTTCGACGGGTATTTTCCAAGTCACCATGCCTTAGCCCCAATTAAGGCCAATGATGGTGTGCTGACTTCGGAAACCAAGAACACCCTACACCTGCAGGTAAGCATATTAGACCATTTAATTTCTGGCCGCAGTTCTTCAGGCCTCGGGGATGTTCATACATAGTATTGGGATGGTGCACTAGGCGACAGCGATGCAGCCCTCTTGATTCATGACCAATGTTTCGAGGTACGGGCGCGATGGTGTGCACAACCACCCGCAACCCGAAAGGGCCACATGCGTATGCCTCCCGGACGGCAGTAAGCAGGCCAAAATAGAATCACGGCTGACTGGCCATGGAAGACGGGAAGAAGAGAAAGCAAGTAGATAAGATGAGCGGTGGTTGCTGACCATCGTGGCCTCCGAGTGGATGTGGCAACAAATTGCCCGTCTTAAATCCTTCTCGTTCGCACAACCCAACTTTCCCTCCACTTCGGCTTCAGCTCTTCCACGACATCCTCCCCCTCCAATTCTGACAGCCAATCCCCGACTCGCTTGGGCTTTGGAAATTTCGTGCAGATGGGAGCTGGACATTCAGCTGCCCTGAACAAGGCGACCCTCCCTCCCACAACTCAGACTTGCGTGGTCCTCCCCAAAAAGCTGTTTGTCTCCCAAAGCTGCAGGATGACCCGCCACTCCTGAACTGGTCTGCATTGGGACGGCGAGTTCCAGAGCCCAGGCTGGGATAGCAAACCTGCAAAGACGGGAACTCGTCTCTATGCACAAGGCAGGGGAAAGCAAAGAAGAAAAATTAATTAAGGGAAAAGCGAAGGGCAACCAGAGGAGAACGGCACAGAAAAGCAAAGAAAGGAAGGAAGATGCAAGCACGGGTCGCCGTGCTACCCAGGTTCCTGGATACTGTCGAGCAATGATCGCCTGTTCCAGCGCCGTGGTTCGTCTGGTTGGACATCGCTCTTTCTGCCCAGACCATCACCCTGGGGCCAGCTCGCTGGTTCCCTGACCTGACTCTTCTATAAAGCGGTCCTTCGGGTGGCATCGCCACGGGCTGGGTTCTTTAGCTGGGATGTTGTCAGATCACCGCCAGTCGCGTTGGACTGGCTATAAGTCTTTGTTCTGGTACTGTTCGTGCGTGTCTCAGCGCACAGCCAGCTAACTGTACGTCTCCCATCCTCGCCTTATCAACCCCCCTCCGGGCATCTCCTTTTTTTTAAAGGACTCTTTTCAACTGACCCTGACATAGTCTAGCGGTTTTCAATCATTTGTGTTTTTGCTTTTTCCCCCAGACACTACTTGGGCGCCCGGACCAGGCTTGGTTTGCTACTAGTCTAGTTTATTGATTACCGACTCCTTTTCCCTGCCTTCACCTTTCTTTTTCTCAGGGCCCAGAACGGCAGGTTGACGTTGAGCACGTCGTCAAGAGGTCGGGAATCCCTTGCTTCAAGGTGGAATCGGAACTGAATCTTGCCCACACCGCACGCTTCTTTTCTCTTTCATCTCCCTTCCCTCACACCTCAGCGGGCATCGCTCATTACCCTCCCACGAGCTGTCCGCCAAAGTTTTCTAAGTGCAAACCTAAAGTAAGGATAAGAGGGCCCTTGAGTGACTCGCCTACTTAGTGTCATCACGGTAGCACGGAAGTTTCGCGCAACGAACCAGGGGACGTCTCTTAGTGGTTACTCCAGTGGTCGAAGGAATCGAGAGGAGATAAGGAAAATGCCCCCCAGCAGTTCGTCTTTTACGGCGCTGAATCTGCCCTCGACATTTTCGCTACCGCCATGCATGGAATACTTCACCCTCACCGCCGGCCCTAATACGGACCTTTGGCGTAAGCCACCGAACCGGGATACTGCAACGGCTCCTATCGTGTTTACATCCTTGCGGAGCCCATTTGTAGTTGCCGAGGTCACTGTCACGGCCGACTGGGAAATGGAATGGGACCAGGGTGGTTTGGTTATCTTTGCCGGAGCTGCGCCGCAATCATTTTCGCCAGACAGTACTCCACGATCGGGCCGCCCCGGATACCCTCAACCGTTACGACCCTGTAAATGGGTCAAGGCCGGGATGGAGTTCAGTTCGGGCACGATGAACGCATCGTCGGTAAGCGCAACCTCCGACGGTGCGGACTGGTGTCTCTCACCACTGTCGATCCCCGATCGCGGTCCATCGGCTATGCATTCGTTAAGAATCAAATTAGAGCGAGTTGGACATTCGCTCTGGATATGGTACCAGGATCCATCAGCGGTGCCGTATGCAGCGAGCCCGGCGGCCGTGAGCAGCACGTGGAAGAAGCTGCGGGAAGTAACCTGGTTCTTCTACGGGGTAGAAGACAAGTTCGTCCACGTGGGCGTCTATGCCAGTCGCCCGCATAGTCTGCCTCGCACCGGGACGATGTGGGCGATGGCCAATGGTCCGGGGGTGGCCGGATCGGCGGCGGCATCAGCGAACGAAGGATTGGTGGTCGAGTTCGAGGATCTGGAGATATTGTAATTTTTTCCGTCTTATCTCGTCTTAGCAGCATTGATTTGGTTCCAGCTACGACCATTGAACGCTTATGAGTCGATGAGCTTTCTTTCTCTTTGGACTTTTGGGCTGGTTGGGTTCAGGAGCCTGGTGCATTGCGGGAGATAGCGAGCATGGGTTTATGTTATGGTTGGAGCGATTGCTGAGACATGAGCATCTATTGAGTTTGGCTGTTCAACACTTATCGATTTAATGAAGACTTGATACGATCTTTTCTTTCATACTAAGGTATACCCACGAAGCAGATTATGTCGTTACAACTTATAGAACGGGTTTATTTCAAGTATGACTACTCAAGAACTAGGAGACTGCCTCTCCCTGAGAGCTGAGCTAAGGAGATGAAGATCATAAGATCTAGACCCGCCCTTCCTATAGAACATCTAGCATTGTATTCCTACTACTTCAAGTACTCTGTAGAATAATATTGCCTGGATACATCCAGCAACACGTGCTAGTCATGTGATCCAACTAAACTATGCTCGCCTAAAGTTATGTATTCTCTCCTCTTCTCCAACCAGTATTGTCTGTTATACTTCCTGGATATGGTCATCATCATAGCAATTCATTGCGAGGAGTGTCAGGACTCAATCCCGCAAGAAGAATTATCATCTTACTCTATGATTATCCCCACATGCTTCGGAAGAAGACAATGAAACCTCAAGATTCCTGTCTAGTGCTGGGGTGAGGTTGACACAGTATGCGGGGTTACTCCGAGCCCCTCGGGGTTTCGTGGGAATGATGCGCGAGAGACGACTACTGCTTGCAGTTCGTTGGCATGCATACATCACACATAAATATTCCCTGGCTTATGAAGGATATGAGTATTTCTTGTCTCTCTTGATGCTATTTCGCCCCTACTATCATCCCCGGCCATGACCAGCCAGATCTTGATTGAAACCCCTACAGTTGAGCAACACTCAACCGGGTTTGGCATTGGAACGGCGACTCCGCGTCTGTCATGGCGATTCCTCACCACCGACAGTAGTCCTCGCGACTGGGAGCAGACGGCCTACGAAGTGGAAGTTGTTCGTTCTGGATCTCCGGAGGAAACTTACCATGTGAGCAGCAATGCATCGATGCTCGTCCCTTGGCCCAGTGGCCCACTACAATCCCGAGAAATCGCACAGGTCCGTGTTCGGGCATACGGGTGCAGCGCCGGCGAGGAGCAGCAGGGTGACTGTGCCACCTCCTGGTCTCCCTGGCGGAGCATTGAGTGTGGACTACTCGACCGCGCTGACTGGGTAGCCCGACCTATTGCCAGTCCTGAGGATCCACAGCCGGATAATCCATTGCGGCCGG